CGCTTTCATTTTTTCAGAAATAACTGTTGGAAGATATTGGAAGAAACAAACCCATATGCCCAAAAATCTAATCAGAGATTTAAGTATCTCGCCTTTTGAATGTTCTTCTCCTGTATCAACTGAAATGCCACCAACATCTCCCTCTCCACAAAAAACCCAACCACCACAACAAAAAATAACCAAACACCACAGACCCCACCAAAAAACCCACAAAACAACCACACTATCTACAAGAAAAAGTCCAAGAACTACACCACAGACCCCACCCACACAACAAACACCAACCAAACCTCCAACCACAACAAAAACAAACAAAAGAAAGCCAACAAAAAAACAAAAAACTCCTCCAACCAAAAAAAGAAAGCTCCACGAAAGCCAATCAACTCCCAAAACAAAAATCAAGGCATCAAAAGGGAAAAAAACAGCAGTCTCGGCAAAGAGAGTCTAATAGTTTAATTACCGTTCCAACATCGGAACAGTAATCAAACTGTTGAAGGGGGTCAAATTCACAAAAGCTCAACAGACAGAGATGGAAAAAATCCCTTTTTGGCCCATTATAAATGCTCTCTCCTCAACACAACTGAAGGCCTCTTGGTGCAAATGCTATAATTCCATTGTAGCAGAAATGACAATACTCTACAACAAAAGAAAAAGAGCATTTATATTTGGTAAAAATGAAATGAAACTCAGAAACAATGATGTTAAGCTCATTTTTGTTATCGACTGTGGAGAAGACAACATCACCACCAAATCCTATGCAAGACCAAAGGATTTTGAGCTTCCATTTTACAAACGAAAATGCAAATTAGTAAAGAGATTGGATGGCAAGTCTTTGACCAAAATGTTTTAACAAACAAAAAAAGGAAAATCTACCAATGATCGTCAAGATCTTGCAAGGGTCATCACCCTTAACTTATGCTTGAAACTTCTCATGCCTACAACAGGCCATACACTCAGTTGGAGTTTCCTCAACTATGTTGACAATCTCAACAACATCAAGAAGTACAATTGGGTTGAGGCAATAAAAGACACACTGATGAATTCAATGGCAAATGCAAACAACAACCCAAAGCATGTCACTGGATGCGTCATGTTACTCTTGGTAAACACATTACTCAACTACTTTACACAAAAATATCAGACATCCACCTATTTCTAACAATCTAACATATTTTAATTTTTTTTTTACAGTACTGGCACTGTGAGCACAATAAACTCCTCCGACCATCCAACAAAGAAGGCTTCCCAAGGTTTATGAAATGGAACCTTGGCAAAATGTACTCCAAGTGGAAACACATCAGCCTTGCTCACTTTGAAAAGGTATTCAAACTCTTCTGTACTATCATAGCACAAATCTATTCAACACTCATTTCACAGTCATTATAGTAAAAATCTTGTTATGAAACTATCAAATTCTTCAGTTTCAAACAACATATATTCAACACTTGACTCACATTATTCACAGTACAAATCATATTATGAAACTGTAAAAGTTTGCAGTTTCAAAGCACACACTTATTTAACATCACTCATGTTATGAAACTGCAAAAGTTTACAGTTTAAACGCACAAATTTATTTCACATCACTCATATTATGAAACTATAAAATTTTTCAGTTTCAAGCAACATATTTCGACACTTAACCCACATTACTCACAGTACAACTTATCTTATGAAACTGACCAATTTTACAGTATTACTGATATATGCCACATTGTTCCAATGCAGGTTGACCAAAGTGCTTTAACTCCAACTGAACAAGAAATATAGTTATTGCATATCAATCAAAGCACATCAATAGACTCTTCAGCAAAGAAACATGACCACAAAAAGGATAATAAGCGAAAAAAACAAACAAAAGCAAAAAAAAAAAAAAAAGACTTCTAGACAGTGATGAGGATGACTTTCTCGAAGAAGAACATCAATTAGAATCAGAATCAGAACAAGAAGAACAACAAAAAAAAAAGAAAAAAAAAGAAAGCAAAAACCACAAGAAGAACTAGAAAGTGATGAACAAGAAGAAGAGAGTGATGATGAAAAAAAACAAGTGACTGATGAAGAAGAAGCTGATGAAGAAGAAACTGAAGAAAAAGAAGAAGAAGAACCTGATGAACAACAAGACAATGATGAAGCAGAAGAAAGACAATAAGCAAAAGGTGATCAACAAGAAGACACAGATGAAGAAGAAGACCAACAACAAGAACCAGAAGAACAACAAACAAACCAACAACAAGAAGTCAATGAACAAGAACTGACAAACCAACAAGAAGAACTCCAAGAGAAATTTGACATATTTCATGCACAAGGTAAACTCTTGTCTAATACTAAAGCAAACTACAAAATTTAATTAAACTAACCAAAACACAATCCAACATTTTTATAGGTCATGACCAAGCACAAATATCAACCAAAGAGGACGACAAGGACAAGCTCATATCAGCCATGAGAGCACAAATGCAAGATATGGAATAAAAATTCATGGCTAAATTGTGTAAAAAAGAAGATCAATTAAAGGAAATGCCCGCCAAAAAAACTGGCAGTCCCCAACAAAGATCAATGGTCAAGAGAATCAAACAAAGATTAAAAAAACAAGCATATGACCCATATTTTGAATACCAACCAATGACAAAAGCCAAAGAAGATACAAGGCACAAGACACAAACTATTGCTGATGTACCCAAACCAACAGAGGGTACCGATGAAGAAAAAGAGAAAAAGAATGAAAAGAAAAAAGAATAAATCGAAATAGAGACAGAACCTACTACTGAACCCGAGCAAAAAGACGGTGCTCATGAAGCAAAACAACAGCAGAAAGAAAAGATGCAAGAAGATATTAGCCAAGAGAAAGAAGTTGCTGCTGAAACCAACCCAAAAGAGGATGCCAATCAAGAGAAGACACAACTTCAAGTATTGGAAAGTGATGATGATTTCAAGGAAGAATCAATCTAAAACAAGCCACTCGCCATTTCATGCCGCAAAACAGACAAGGTTTGGCATAGCCTATCCAAAAAAGACCAAGACCAAATTCAACTCATCAATAACACACAATCAAGTGCTTGTGTTTGGTCTGACAGCGAAGATGAAAATTGCGTATACTTTTCAGATATATGCAGATTGACTAACAGGGAACCCTTATATGGGAATGTAGGTCTCCAACTGCACAATTTTATAGTTTCTGTTCATATTCAATAACCTATTCCACAAACCTAACACATTCTCATATATAACATGTTTCAGGTCATTGATGCCTTCTCAGAAATGAAATTGGCACTCCAACCAACCATTGAAGAATTTGAGAAACATAATCTAGCCTTTGCAAGAAATCCATGCGCGGGAAGATCTTACGTTTTCTGAACACTCATCAATGTAAGCAAAACTTAACATACCTTTCAATATTATTTAAACTACAAAATTTTTTACTTTCTTAACATGTCTTACTACATAGTTTTACAACATATTTCAAACATATATATAACTTACAGACTCCACTATAAAACCAAGATCAAGTACTGAGAGAAAAAATGATGGACAACCATTTTCCAGAAGCAATGAAAAATAGATATATCTATTTCCCAATCAACCACGACAACCATTGGACAATTGTGGTCTTTGACAATGCTGATGGGATATGGAGGCACTATGACTCTTTGAGACCAGCAAAAGATTGCCACAACAAGCACTTTGAAATTGCAAAGAAAATTGTAAGTTAAATAAAATTTCCTACTTAGTTCCATTCCTTTAAAAACATCTCAACTCATCACTATAACTAACAAAAACACCCACTAACTATTTTGTAGCAACAACATCAACTGAGATGGAATAAAGTATTACTCAGCAATCAAGGAAACATGTTATCATCTCAAGAGTGCGATACAGTAATTGCATCAATTGAGGAATGCCCATAACAAACCCCACACTCGTAAGATACAAAATCAATAAACTAATCTTTCAAAATGCTAAATTTTATAATTTTACCTAACTAATTAACTTCATCTAAAACTTTGCAGGAATGATTGTGCAATCGCCGTCTGCAATGTTATCAACCAATATATCAACTAGCAACCTGTGTAGAAATCACTTCGACCAACTGAGTGGGTTAAATTTTGAGCAGAAATCATCAGCCAATTCCTCAATGATGAGAACCGATCTTGGAAACTCGAGCACTACCAAATGTTGACAAAACATACCAAACCATAGAAACAATGAACAAACTTCTTGACAATACAAATATTCAAGTGAACACATTTTTGTACTTTTTTTTTTAACATGTGACAAGTACTTTATATGCTTTTGGGAATGATCTTCTTCTGGTTATTATGGTGAAAATGATTGTTGTCATTGATGTTGTTGTTGCTCTTCTTGTTATTCTTATTATTGTGGTTGTTCTTCTGATTGTTTGTGTACTTGTTTGTGGTTGCATATATTTTCATACAGTAAATGTTGTTTCTAATAATTCTTCAAATTGAAAAATTATGCAGTTTCATCAGGTTGTTTATAATAATTCTTAAAACTGCAAAATTATGCAGTTTCATTAGGTTGTTTTTCATAATTCTTGAAACTGTAAAATTATGCAGTTTCATTATTCAAACAAAAATTATGCCACACAATTATGCATCCAATTTCATGACTCAACAAATAGATGAATTACATTTCAAAATTAAAAATAAAACTACAAAATTCACAGTTTTGTCGCTATGAAATATGAAATAAATGAATTATGTAGTAAAACTGCATTTCAATATTATACAGTTTCAATAAGAAATTTTCAACAACCTTCTCAGTATTCCATAAAAATAAGGCTAACCAAACCCACAAAAAAAATAAAAATAAAAAACAAAACGAGACTGTTACAAAACAACTTCAATAACTAAAGAACACATCAAAAAATAAAAAACAATTCAACCAACTTTATTCATTACTTCCATAATACCAAGTATCACATTTTGTATTATCATAATTCCTCAAATTCAAATACAAATCCAAAAGAATAGATTGTGGCCTCAAATAGTAGCCTTGCACATCTTCTTATTGTGATTCCCATATTTCAAGCACCTCCCACACTTGATTTGCTTTACATTCTCACCCCTAGAAGGTATCCTCTTCTTCTTGTTCCGCCCGGGCTGCTTCTTCGTTATAGGAGGTTTGATAATCGAACTACTGGCACCATCAAAGTCAAATCTCTCACTTGAAGGCACTGGATAAACAGATTCCTTGTATGACTCTCTAAAACAATCTATATGAAAAAAGAGATCAATAAAATCATACACATCTCTACCCCTACTACGCAAAGCATACACAACATGACAACAAGGAAAACCATTCAATTTCCATTCATGGCAAGAATAAGTCTGTCTACTAATATCAACATAAAAAGAATTAGAAGAATGAACGTCAAGCACAGTATCACTAGCAACAATCACATCCCAAGACTTAGCTAGCTTCAAAGAGTCCACCAACTTCTTTTCCATAACTGGACACAATTTCGTAGTCCATCTTTTAGATTCAGCTCTTCTATTAGACAATTGAGTCATGATTTGAACCCTAATCATATCAACCATACAAGTAATAGACAACTCACGGGCCCCACCAATCCAATTATTATAAGACTCGGCAGGATTAGATGACATCTCACCATATCGTTTCCCTCTAAAAAATGCATTCGCCCACTTCTCATTTTGAAAACCATCCAACATACTATCAACTCTACCATTCCCAGCAATACGCCTCAATTTCTCCATATAATGTTGGAAAGAAGCAACCGTTGGCGCATAAGCACATTTAACTAATATTTTCATCAAACTCAGCTTATAGTTAGTACGAAGTCCCACCAATTTGTCAATCAAATTTCTCTTCAAATGATTCAAGCAATATGCATGATGTGCATTGGGAAAAACCACTGAAAGAGCATCTAGCAATCCATGTTGACGGTCAAACTTAAATTATCAATCTCCGGCTTGAACCAACAGCCTTTAATAACTAACTTAAGAACCACATCCAATTATCTTGATTTTCAGCGTCAACAATCGAAAAAGCCAAAGGAAACAGACCTGCAAACAAAATAACATCAAACTGCAAAAATTAGAAGGCTCACAATACAATAACACACTAACAAACAAAACCTATACTAACTGCAAATAAATACATACCTTGATTACCATCCTTTGATATTGTTGCAAGCAAACGCCCCTTGTAACGCCCCTTCAAGAATGTACCATAAACAAACAACAACGGACGACAAAATTGAAAGCCATACAAACATTTATGAAATGCCACAAACAACCTCCAAAAACACGCACTACTTTCATCCACATCTAATTCAAACACACTTCCCAGATTCGTTCTCACATTCATCTCAAGGTACCATTGAAGTTGGTCAAAAGAAGTTGCAAAATCACCAAACAACCCACATCTTGCCTTATCAACTCCTAACCATGCAACCCGATACGAAACATCTATGCCATATTGCTTTTTCAACTTTTTTTAACTTCAATAGGACGAGTCAACGGATTATCACTAATATCATTATGCACAATATTAGACACAAGTCTAGGACCAACCATTTGGCTACAAGATCTACGAGCGACAACCCCACAAGTATGCACATTATCCAACTTCATTATAAAAAAAAAATCGAAATTCATCAACACCCTTCCATGCACAAACCATTTACAACCGTAGACGACTTCATCATACATTCAGCAGTTACTCTTGTTGCATCGTTCTTCAAATAATTCACTGCAAAACCACACTCAACTGCATACTTAGCCAATGCAATGCGGAACGCAAACACTCCACCTTCAAATTCTTGACAAACACTATGTATAATCCCCTTCCAACTAGCAGACAAAAAAACTCTCTCTGGTCCTGGATAAAAACTAGGCAACAAACCACCAAACACTATAACAAAAAGTGTCTTTGGAGACGAAAACTAATGACGAAAATAAATTTTGTTACGAAAGACATACCTTTTAGTGGAGAAAATAACTTATCGTCTCCAAATGTACCATTTTTACAAAAATAAAATTTCATCACCAATTTGCATACATAATAAAAAAATTAGGTGACGAAATTATTTTTCGTCATTATTTATATTTTTTTTGTCACTAAAGATTTTCCCGCTAATTTTTTGGATGGTACCAAAATTTTCAGACTTTCGGTGAGGAAAAGATTGGTCACCAATAATAAAATTATCAATGATGAATATATTTTCGTCACCAATAATTTTTAATATTTTAATATTATTTAGTGAGAAAATTATTTTTGTGGCTAATAATTTTATCTTTTAGTGAGGAAATAATTTTGCCACCAAATAAATGATTTAGTTGCTAAAAGTTTTTAGAGGGAAATGAATATATTGGCGCCTTAGATATATCAGTTCTTCTTCTCACACACAGATTTGACCACCAAACCTCACCTACATGACCTCACCTTCCCCTTTCTCTTCTCTCACGCCTCATGCCTCTGCCCTCCTCTCTTTTATTGGAGCATCACCGCAAGGGTTAGACGAGCACAACGCAAGGGTTAGACGGGCACACCGTAAGGGTTAGCACCACTGTCGCTTTGTCTCGGGTAGGTATGTCCTCTATTTCGCCCTCTCTCTCTTTCTCTCTCTGTGCGTGCTCAACTGCATACTTAGCCAATGCAATGCGGAACGCCGACACTCCACCTTCAAATTCTTGACAAACACTATGTATAATCCCCTTCCAACTAGCAGACAAAAAAACTCTCTCTGGTCCTGGATAAAAACTAGGCAACAAACCACCAAACACTACAACAAAAAGTGTCTTTGGCGACGAAAACTAATGACGAAAATAAATTTTGTTACGAAAGACGTACCTTTTAGTGGAGAAAATAACTTATCGTCTCCAAATGTACCATTTTTACAAAAATAAAATTTCATCACCAATCTGCATACATAATAAAAAAATTAGGTGACGAAATTATTTTTCGTCATTATTTATATTTTTTTTGTCACTAAAGATTTTCCCGCTAATTTTTTGGATGGTACCAAAATTTTCAGACTTTCGGTGAGGAAAAGATTGGTCACCAATAATAAAATTATCAATGATGAATATATTTTCGTCACCAATAATTTTTAATATTTTAATATTATTTAGTGAGAAAATTATTTTTGTGGCTAATAATTTTATCTTTTAGTGAGGAAATAATTTTGCCACCAAATAAATGATTTAGTTGCTAAAAGTTTTTAGAGGGAAATGAATATATTGGCGCCTTAGATATATCAGTTCTTCTTCTCACACACAGATTTGACCACCAAACCTCACCTACATGACCTCACATTTCCCTTTCTCTTCTCTCACGCCTCTGCCCTCCTCTCTTTTATTGGAGCATCACCGCAAGGGTTAGACAAGCACAACGCAAGGGTTAGACGGGCACACCGTAAGGGTTAGCACCACCATCGCTTTGTCTCGGGTAGGTATGTCCTCTATTTCGCCCTCTCTCTCTTTCTCTCTCTGTGCGTGTGTGTGTGTGTCTCTCTGTCTTCCTCTCTATGTCTTTTTCGATTCGCATATACCTTCACACCCAACCCTAAAGTCGACCCAGCCGTAAATCGACCCACCTTACTTGAGTGGTGATTGGACTGCTCTTTGGATTTCACCGCTTGTACACCCGTAAACAGTTGGAACAATGCTTCCAGTTGTTCTTGTTCTTGCTCTTTGGACTTTCACCCCTTGAACACCATTACAACAGTCCAAACATGCATTTTTTTTGAATTGATTCCTGTTAATAGGGTGATTGGGGAAGAACCAAATCAATTTTATTTTCTCAATAAAATATAGAACAAGAATTTAATGACCCCTTCAAATGATTGATATGAAGAATAGATGTTTTCATATGTAACTATCTAGCTCATTGGAAAATCAGGCATATTAATTAAAATGGCGAGTGAATGAAAATGAAATGGTATTTTTTTTCCTATTGGTTTTTGGTGTAAAAGCGACTAATATTAATGTTGATTGAGTCAGACATGAGTTAATAGGATTGATGAGGTTTTGATGTCTCAATTTCAGGTTTGAACATAAGAGTTAAGGTGTCAAGTTCAAGCTTCTCCTAATGGGTCATTAGAGGTTTGGTTTTGCCTCTCCTCCTTACTCTCTGTTTTTGCTAATGGCTGTGTTTGTGTTTCTAAGATTTGGGAATGTCCCATTGTATTTTCAGTGTGTTCGGTTAGTTTTGTTTGGGTTTTCTATGCCATTTGTGGAATACTTGATAGTTAGTTTAAATATTTTATTTTTAAACTTTCAACTTGCTAAACAGAAATTTGATCAGAAAACTCAACCTGCTAAGCATAAATGAATTGTGAAAAAAGACTGGTATGTCTATGACACCAAATGATAATATGCTTAATTGCATGCAAGTTCTATTCTTGGATGAATGTAATATATATATGGTCGTAGTGATAGTGTATGAAGATCATTTAGCATGATTTGAGAAAGATATTTGACATTCATCATATTGGCTTCCAATTTTGTGTAGAACACCATCGAGTGATTCACTATTCTACTTGGTCGTGGTGATATTTGGCATTCATCATATGGTTATGCTGTTTGCCCTGAGTAATTCACTATTCTATTCCCAGGCCTGGTTGACAAATGAGTGAAATGACAATTTGTTTTGACTATTTGAGAAGTTTGATGATATTAAAAAGTGTCTTTTGTATGCCTTATCTCCATTTGTATTAATGCAAAAAGAATAATTGCAAGAGCTGTTTTTGCTGTTTTTGCTGTTTTATGATGTTTGTCATTGTGATGATGATATTTTCGAGTCTTGCCTGACATCAATTTAGTCAAATAAGGTATACTGAATCTTCACCAATGTTGGTTAGAACATGAAACGAAACATTAGGAATACATGTTCATAAGCATTATGGTTAGTGCTTACCTTTTTATTTTATTTTATTAAGAGTTAGTTTTTTATAATACCATGATATTCCTGTAAATGCTCATGCTTTTAACCATTTGATGTTGTTGCTTCTCACAGTTAAAGAAATATACAGTGGCTTTATATGGATATGGGTATACTTATGAAGCTGGCTGCATATTTAGCTATTAAAAAACAACAAGGTTTTAATAACATTATACACCTTTTGTTTTTTTTTTTAATAATGCAATCTTTTTAATAATGCAATGAGGTCAATTATTTGTTTTTTAGCAATTGAAAACAACTAATGCAATGAGGTCATATTTAGCAATTAAAAAATGACTAATCTTTTTGTTTTTTTTTTTTAATAATGCAATGAGGTCAATTATTTATGTGATGAGATCAACTCTTAAGTGGTGGTGGAGATTTGGCAATGAAGATAAGGTGTTGTGGAAGAAAATAGTTTGTGGTAAGTACAATCTCCAAGGGAGCAGGTGGTGCCCACATGTTAAGAGATCTGATGCCCATTCTAGGATCTGGAAGGACATCCTATCAGTGGGGAGCTTAAGACCTGAACTTTGTAACCTTTTTGTTTTTTTTGTGAGCAATACTCAAATACAAATTGGAAATGGGGCTAGGACTTTGTTTTGGAAAGATAAATGGATTAGAGGTAGGTGTTTAAAGGAGGTGTTTCCATGGTTGTATAGACTCCCAATTGATAGGCACAAATTAGTAAAGGAGGTACTTAACCTTAGAAGTGATTTATGTGATTGGGTACAGGACTTTTGTAGAGAGTTGAGGGATTGGGAAAATGAGGATATGGTCAGTTTAGTTAACATGTTACTCTGTGCTTGTGCACTTAGATCTGATAAAGAGGATGCTTTATATTGGAAGGCAGAAAACTCGGGTTGTTTTAGTGTTTCATCAGTGTATAGATGGTGTGAATTCAATCTTCATCCCAATGACATTGGAGTTAATGCACAGCAACTGTTTTCTGTTTGTTAGAAACTTGTGAAAGAAAAGTGCTAGCATGCCAAGCAGGACTTGATGTCAGTAAATGAACAAGTTGATAGTGTGAAAGAGTATGCAATAAAGATGGAAAGTGTTAGCGTTTCGTGGAAGAGACAAACTTTATCACTGATGCGCTGGTATGTTTCTTAGACTCCAAAATATTACGAGCTAGATGCAAACTTCTTATGTCAAATCGATGTAACCAATCTATGTCTCTGACAATATTTATCAATCTTTTTTGTTCTTTGGTCTTGAATTTTATTTATGAAAGTACACGTGTTTATACAAATGCAGATTGATAGTACACTTGCGTGTATTGTCAAGATTATAAAATCAACTCTACAATTATCAAATCTTGATCTTGATGCTTCATATGCTAGAGAAATCTGTTCCAATGCCTTCCTCCTCAATTACTCAAAATGATATTAGTGAATTCTACTAATGTAGTTTAAATTTAA